GAACAATCACAAAAAAGCAATTTTTAGATAGTTTTCTTATCATTAGATTAACAATGTTTCCTTATCATTAAACTAACAATGTTAAAAAATAAAAAATTGATTTTAAATTTATAAAGGCCTAGATCTTGATATTCATCAAATAGATGGTCCAGATTTATTGTTGGAAGGCACTCATTTTGATCATATTTAAGGTGTAATTTGAATATTTATTTTTCTTGAGATTGATTACTTTTTAGAATGTGCACAAAATTTAGGGCCAAATAAATGCCCTACCCATGATTTTTTACAATTGTGGTTTTATTATATTATAATGATATGGTCACATGATATCATTAACTTTATATATATATATATATATATATACTTTTTCAAGGATATATATAACCCCTATATATAATATACAAAGGTACATATATTAACATACATATTAATATATATTAATTTGTATATGTTTTTCATTTTTTTCTATCTTATTAGTTTTAAAATGAGAAAATTGATCAATATTCTTATTAGCTATTCATTTTTTTTGGTAATTTTTAGTAATTTTTTGGTACACATTTTTTATAATTTTTTAGCTATATTTTTAGCTGAATTTTTATTTTTTCTATATATAATTGGCTAGGTTCAAGTTTGGGTCCGAGTCCAGGTGCAAGCCCTCCAAATAAATTCCGGATTCAGGTCTGGGTCCGGGTCCAAGCGGACCAACGCTACCGAACCCTTTGCCACCCCTACCCATGCCCTACCTTTTCCGGGCCAGACCGGACCACGCAGCCCATTGCCAGCGTTGTACGCAAAGGGAGACAAGGTGGTAGGTGGCACAAAACAACGTGTACGAAGTTAACATTCCAATAAAAAATAAATAAATTTGCAGGATTCTTTCTCTAGTTTCGATTTCTATGCTCATTAAATTTTACACATTTTCCCCAAAAGCACGAAAACCTGTTATACACTATGCATCAAGTGGTCAGGTCATAACTATTGTACATGCTTCAGTTTTAAGGCTCCGTGAGCTCGTCCTTGACATGGAATCATGCTAGAGACATGGCTGAAGTTCATACTCGAAGTTAAGATATGCAGCTTCCAAGGGAGCTAAGCTGCTAGAGAAGCATCCTCATTGCCGTCAAGTTAGGGTGCGGTGCTCAAGCACCAAATGGAGAAGCTAAACCGGTCCTATGAGACGAAACAAATCCTAAACACCCTCAAGCATGAAGGTTTTGATCACAGGGTCAGAGGTGTAGAGGGAATAGGCCATTTAGCACCCCATTTCACTTTAAGCAATAAATGATACCATTGCCAGATCTGTCCCCAAGTGTATATTATAGTAACCCAGAGGAATGTTAAAAACCATGATCTGATGGTATCACGAGTTCGTGCCAGCTAGATGAAACAATAGACAGCACTGGTACGAGCGGAATCCACCGATCCACTTGACCATCAAATCATTCAAATTGATAACCACAAAATCAAGGGTATATGGTAGGAGAGAGAGAGAGAGAGAACAGCCCCAATATTTCTTCCAAAATAACTGGTAAAATCAATCAACTCCATCCTCGTTAAAAAGAGCTTCAAACAAAGAGTATGCAAGGACGCATTCACCTGTACAAACAATATAAGTTACAAATCTCAAGCCACCACTCAAAACGCAAGTTCATTCTTTGGCAGAAGGGTTCGTCAAGAGGTCGAGTGAGCGCCGAAGAAAATCGAGAGCAGTTGGCACATCATCAAATGCAAGGGCCCCAACCGCAAACCTAGCCGCCTTATGTGCCTCTGCAATTTTCTCAGGTCCAGGTTCGTAGTTCTTGGTCTCCTGCCCCTTCACACCATGTGCATTTCCATCATATACTCCCGTCCCACCACCAGAATCATAGCTTTGGGCAGGGGCATAATTGGAAACAGCAGCTATAGGCTGTTGAATATAGGAAGCATTTGCTTGAGCCCCATTAGAGCCAACTTGATGATAGTAAGAGGAATAATCTCCATGCCCACCATTGTTAAAACTTGGATAAGACTGATAGTTTGGGTAAGCAGTATAGGAGGCATTTGGGTGCTCATTAGAAGGGGTATACTGGTGAGGTTGAGTTTGTGGTTGTGAGTGACGCTCATGGGGTGGGATTTGGGGGTACGCATTATGGTATGTCGGGGCTTTGGAGATGTCATCAGGTGTAAGTGAGGAGGTGGTAGGAGGGAAAGTATCACTTGGCAGGGAGTTGTAAGAAGCATATGAAACTGAAGAGGGGCGATCAGCTGAGGAGTCAGGAGTCTTGTGGTCAGAGAACCCTGTTGATGTGTCATTATCTCGTGAAGGAGCAGTAGGTGAGGAGTAATCCCTCTGTATTGGCTCTTGAAAATTTTCCCTCGGTCGTGTATCCTGAAAAGGATAAAAAATCATCAGTAAATTGAAGGATGAAACTAGAGTCAACCCACCAATGTTCAGAAAATTGCATAAAGCTCCAACAGCCTTGGGCACTGGTTATAAAAAGCCATCATTTCTGTTTTCCAAACCAAGCAGATGGATTTAGAAAAAAAAAACGCTGTTATTTTGATACAGTAGCTGAATGCTAGTAAGCTATCATATGGTTCTTTCAACATCGCAATAAACCTTCTATAGAAGTAAGCCCTTGAGTTTTTTGAAGTTGTCGAGCATACCAATTAAAGTCTAAAACTTCTCTATTTTTCATTAGTGCCGAAGCTGTAGGAAGGAAGAATAATATAGACCTCCCCTATTAAGAAAGTTAAATAGGTTTTAAAATTACGAATAAATGCTGGGAAATTTAAGCAAAGAAGAGGGGAAGTATTTCAAAATGGTTATCTGAGGTACTCTGTCTCGAGTTGGAAACATAAAAAGGAATCAGGGATAGCAATTCCATATTTTGGTGATTGAATAAACCCACATCTTGCGCAAACACTTAAAATGCCATCTACACAGCCAAATTAAGTCCTTAATAATTATCTGAATAAAGAAATATGGGGCCATCCAGAAATTATCTGAAAAAGGAAAAGATTGGGCACTCTACCGAGAGAATAGAAGATTGGATATGTTTAAAAGTGGAAACATAAAAAAAAATTTCATTTGTCATCAGGAACATGAGTACCTCAGTAAGTAACTCAACAAGGGTGTCATATTGACATATTTCCTGAAACAATGGATATTTTTATTTTCAGTATATTTTATGGGAAAGTATAAGATGAGACCATTTACGTTTGACACAAGCATATTACACTTATTCTTAACCATCAAATCTGAAATCAAATGGCTAAAGGTGGGCGATTGACTATGCACAATGCTAAATCAATTATTTCTCGAATTTTGTGCATTATTCTTAGTGTCCAAATTTCAAATCTAATGACTAAGGTTGATTGTGACCTTCTTGTATGAAATGGCCTCATAGTATATATTCCCATATTTTATTTAGTTGTCAGGTAGGAAGCATGAAACATGAGCCAACTAAATTTAAACACTGGAACCCTTTCCAAAGTTCAGTCATATTCTTTTCCTTGCCAGCTGGGTTAAGGGGCTCAACCACAACACTGTACGAAGGGATAAATCACACAAACAGAAAAATAAAAATAAAAGATTAAGACACTATGCTTCCCTTCAGAACCTACAAGGGAACTCAGCCTAAAAAACTCCTCAAGTCTCAAAAGCTGAATACTCTTCTCTATTCCTTCTCTTCACAAAAGATTATATATTATAAAGAAAAGCAAAACCCAAAACCATAAAAATCTCTACAGAGAGAATAGAAGATTGGATACGTTTTAAAAGTGGAAACATAAATATTTTCATTTGTCATCAGGAACATTAGTACCCTTGTGAGTAATTCAACAGGGGCATGATGCTGAGATCTCTCCTGAAACAATGAATACTTTTAATTTCAGTGTGTTTTGTTTAGTAAAGCATGAGACATGAACCAACTAAATTTAGGAACAGGAACCTTTCCAAAGTTCATTCCCATCCTTTTACTTGCCAATTGGGCTTAGGAGCACAACCATGAGACAGCACACGAAGGGATAAAGCAAACAAACAGAAAAATAAGAATAAAAGATTGAGATATTATGCTCTCCTTCAGAACCTGTAAGGTAATTCACCCTAAAAACTCTTCACAAGTCTCAAAAGCTGAATACTCTTCTCTAGTCCTTCTCTTTACAAGAGATCATAAAGAAAAGCAAACCCTAAAACCCTGAAAATCTCCACAAAAAAGAAAAAGAATTACCATTAAAGTATCTACAAGATTACATGACCCAAAGAGCCCTAAAATCTCTAAAAAAACCATAGACCAAGCCAAAACTACAGTTTCCTAAGAGATAAACCCTAACCACATTTACCAAAACAGAAAAAAAAAGCCCTAACAACATATTTCTCCCAGGGTTCGGAGCAGCGTGTTCCCAAGCTTAAAGAGTTCGAAAATTTCCCTTGCCATATCCATTTTGTTCAAACTAGAAATCTTCACCCTTCTCCTGTGGAACTTCTGACTGTTAAAACTTAAATCCCACAAAATTCTGATGTGTAAACAAAGCTATGTAATCCTGGTAGGTCAGCTATGATTTAAAAATCTCTCGCGCTACACACCAGTTGTATTTCATGCATGACAACCTGTTCAACTTATAGAGCTTGCTATCATGTTTGATTAATCCTTGGATTATCAGTCCATTTTTTATCTTCTTCTGCGTCATATTCTTGTTTATCTTCTTCCTCGTCATATTCTTGTTTCAAATGTTGCATTATTATGTGATGCAGCGAAAAAAAGAAATTCAAATTTCAAATTACAATTTTATTATTATTATTATTATTGAGTTTATCTTTTAAATTAGGAGGTGCGCAGGGATAGGTAGGCATTGAGTTTTTACGTGAGTTGATATTTATTGATTGGGTTAGTTAGTTTAGGAATGTAAATAGGATAAGGTTAAATTTAAGAATTAAATAAGATAAGGTTAAATATGGTTAGTTTAGGAGTATAAATAGGATAATGTTAGACCTAGGAAGGTTTATCTTTTCAACAATAGCTTTGGGTAAAACGTGGGGGTTTATCTTTTCAATAATGGGTAAAACGTGGGAGGCACGTGAATTTAAGAGAGAGAAGATAGGGATGAGAGAAAATAGATTAAGGGAGATAAAATAGAAAAGTCAGTTGTTTATCTTCTTTTCTTCTTTTTTTAGTCTATTTAAAGGAACGTTTCCCTTCATTGTAAGGACGTGAATGAGTTAATAAAATTCAATCTTGTGAAGAGATTATTTTAGGGTGGATTCCCTTGCAGACCTTGAGAGAGGGTATATTCTCTCAACCTTTTTATTTTTATTTTTTTGGTGTTATTATCTCCCTGCATCAATTGGTATCAGAGCTGTATCAATTGGTATCAGTGCAAGTTAAGTCCAGAGTTTACAATGCCACCAAAAGCGAATCAAGCTAATCCTGCTCCGGTTATGGATGATCGTTGGGGAGAAATTTTGACTAAAGCCCTAGAGGATTTTTAAACTGAAGTACGTGAAATGAATCAGAGGATGCAATGCTTAGAGGATTTTCAAACTGAAGTATGTGAGATAAATCATAAGATGAATCAGAAGATGCAACTGTTGAATCAGCGGTTGCAGCGGTTGGAGAGCAATCTTCATCATGAAGAAGGTGCTCGTAGCCACATTCATCTAGCACCAGTAATTCCATAACAAACCGATAATGTTGATTTCAAGCGTAATGAAAAAATTTACAGGAGAGATCCACGTCCTATAGAGCAACCATGAGATCTTAATATTAAAATCGATCTCCCAAAATTTCATGGCCAAAAGTGTTTATCGATTGGATATGGTGCTTCTTTGGAGCTGGATCCATTCCTAGTTAAGAATAATCAACCCGAGCTCGTAGTCGACAATTACTCTTGAAATACATTTGCAAGCAAAGAGTCTTACATTAGTCTTAAACAAATTGAAGGAAAAATACCGAGGCTCATGGTGGGACTTCATCGCCAACTTTTGAAAAGGCTCCTAAAAGGTTTGAGTTCGATAAGCTCGAGGTTGAGCTTCTCCCAACTCAGGGAGAATGATGCAGTGACAAAAAGAAATTCAAATTTCAAATTACAATTTTATTATGATTATTATTATTATTATTATTATTATTGAGTTTATCTTTTAAATTAGGAGGTGCGCAGGGATAGGTGGTCATTGAGTTTGTGCGTGAGCTGATATTTATGGATTGGGTTAGTTTAAGAATGTAAATAGGATAAGGTTAAATTTAGGAATTAAATAGGATAAGGTTAAATATGGTTAGTTTAGGAGTATAAATAGGATAATATTAGATCTAAGAGGGTTTCAACAATAGGTTTATCTTTTCAACAATAGCTTTGGGTAAAATGTGGGGGTTTATCGTTTGAACAATAGGTAAAACGTGGGTGGCACGTGAATTTAAGAGAGAGAAGATAGGGTGAGAGAAAATAGATTAAGGGAGATAAAATAGGAAAGTCACTTGTTTATCTTCTTTTCTTCTCTTTTTAGTCTATTTAAAGGGACCTTACCCTTCAATGTAAGGAGGTGAATGAGTTAATATAATTTAGTCTCGTGAAGATATTCCCTTGCAGACTTTGAGAGAGGGTATATTCTCTCAACCTTTTTATTTTTATTTTTCTGGTGTTATTATTTCCCTGCATCAATTGGTATCAAAGCTGCATCATTGTGTAAGTAGGTCTTGTTCCAACTTCCAATTGTTGCATTAATTTTCCATGCCTTTCTCAATGTCCTACTCAAATATTTGATATCCCGCGCAACAAAAATGGATCCCTGGATCCATAGATGAGGTCATGTCGTATGGATCTCAAGGTACTGATACCACTTGAAACAATGCAAGGGAAGAAAGTAAACAAATTCATAACATAAAAATTAAAAGATTGAGAGATTGTGCTCACTCTTAATGGTTCCTCTTCGGTATTTTATTCTTTACAATAGGTCCTATATTCCATAGTCAAAAGAAAACCCTCAAACCTAAAAATTGCTACAATAAAAAGACATAATTGCCCCTAAAATATCTACAACACTAAACAACCTAAATGCCCCTAAAATCTCTACAAAATCTAAAGAACAAACTAACCCTAGAGTTTCCTAAGAACTAAATCCTAACCACATCATTATTATTTAAAAAAAAAAAGGTATTTGTGTGGCCGTTAATTACATGTGGAGGTAGGTGGGACCACCCCTTTAACGAAGGGAAAAGTGTCTCCCTACAAGATATATCTCAAAGATGCATTTCTGTTCATAAAACAAAGGAAGGACTAGGCATGTGTGAAGCATGTGATGTGCAAGGATGCAATGGTGCTTGAGACATACTTCGCATTTTCGACCGCACAACATTCCATTCCACAAGGAGCCCCTCAATGAAGCAGTGAGAT